TAGCCAATCGACGAGCGACAGGCCCCCCAACTTCATCGTAGAATCGGTTGCCGATGGGCTGAATATGGTCCTCGCCCGCTATGGTATGCCTTGTCTATCATTGACACGCCACTAGCACGTTTCACCAAAGGCCTCAAATTCTGACAGGTGACAAATGGAGAACCTTGCGAAGAACAGCTCACGCCATTCTAACTCCCCAAATGTCTGCTAAACATATCCCGATCCAGTATGCCGAAGCCACTCAGCTCCTTTTCGACATTCTCCGTAACCCCGATGTACGTCCGACTTTCCAAGTTTGTCAATAACATCTCAGCCGCTCTTCTCTGCAGTCGTTCTATACTCACATCAGACGCTATTCCAACTCCGTTATCATGTCTGTGCTCTTCGGGAAAAGGTGTCCGAGATACGAAACTCCTGAAACGACAGCCTTCTTTATCGCGCAGCACGAATGGGAGCTTCTTCTTGAGCCCGGTGCTACACCTCCATTAGATTTGCTTCCAATCCTCCAAAAGGTACCCGAGCGATGGGCCAAGTGGAAGAGAGACGTGCGTCAGTGTCGAAAACACCAGAGGGATTTGTATTTTGGTCTCTTGGACGAAACCAAAGAGCGGATGGACAAGGGCGAGGAGAACGGGAGCTACATGGAGGAGGTAATTAGGCGCCAAGAGGAGTTCGATATGGACAGAGAAATGATGGGGCATGTGTCTCGCATTCCCGCCAGCGGCGTGTTCTTGCCAATGCTCATGCATTTTGGGTTTTCAGATATCTCGGTGGTGTTCTGATCGAAGGGGGCTCTGACACCACGTCCTCGTTCCTGCAATCGGTCGTCCTCGCTATGATTGCGTTTCCGGAGACACAGAAAAAGGCTCACGCGGAGCTTGATCGTGTCATTGGACCTCATAGACTTCCAACTCTAGACGATCTCTCCGAACTTCCATATATCCAAGCCGTAATACAGGAAGTGAGAAGCGACTTCATGTTTCCGACTGCGTACAGTTTGTTAAACTGCGTGTAGACCCAACGGTTCCGACCTGTTGCACCTTTGGCGATACCTCACGCCACAACCGCGCCGGAAGAGGTAAGAGATACCGTCCTTTATTCTCGAGCAATCGATTGATCTGCCTAACAGTACAAGGGGTACTTAATACCCGAGGGATCTACCATCTTTGTCAACGTTTGTAAGTCATCTATTCACTCGTTGGAGATATTTTTATCATTGATATTCAAAATACCTGAAGGGGGGATTTACCATGACCCTGGTAAGCTAGTGTGGTCGTCCGTGAAAATCACAATTCTTCAATTGCTGTGTCGAGCAGAGTTGTACGATGATCCTGATACCTTCAATCCTGACCGGTATCTTTTGACGGAGAACGGGACTAAACTTGGCGTCGATGGAAGTGACCTTCGACCAAACCTCGTTTTTGGTTGTGGACGGGTGAGGTGCTCTTCATTCCTCATTCACTGAACTGAACGTACCTCAATTTAGCGTATCTGTCCGGGTATCCACCTGGCACAAAACTCCATCGTACGAATGATTGTATCTATCGAAAGATCGTCGTTATACTCACACTTGAAACCATTACAGAATCTGAACACCATGCGACTACTTTGGGCTTTTGACTTCGCTCGTGCGACCGATCCCAAGACAGGCGAGCTCATTGATGTCAACGTAAATGACTACCTAAAGGTACATATCGTTCTATCTATCATCATCGAAGCTCGCTCAACGCAGCGCGATCCAGGGTATTTTGACTGCGCCATGTCCCTTCAGGGCATCCATCACGCCCCGCTCCACGGAAGTGGCGGAGATAATCGAGAGAGAGTTTCATGAAGCAACGGAAACGTTCACAAAATTCGAATTCGGGCTGAGCGCGGAGGATAAGTCGTATCTGGAAAGGTACCGTTCTGCCAACTGACATGCCGAGTGCACAAAAATACTTTTGCCATTGTACTAAACAGACTTGGAATGAACTATGTCAGACACTTGTTATGAATCACTGTGGGCTGAAAGGATACCATTAGACCCGACTCCTTGCAGGGTGCAATTGATCCTCTGCCTTAGAGTCATGATAATCATACTAGTGCTGAGATGGTAAGTCTCCGCCACCGTCGCCACCGCAATCCAAACTGCTTATGTTTAAAAGACCGGCCCGCGCCTCCTGTCAGTCAAAGGAATGTCTCAACACACCGTCATGCAGATCACCGAAGACGCGTTCATCCTCGTATGAGATGCAATTGACGAAACGACAGTGCTCGAAACTCCGCACAAATCTGAAGTAACTGGATACCGGATAGCACTTCCCGCCGGCCCGCCAAGGCTCTGGTCACCGGCCCCTCTCGGCGAAATTCTGTATGGCTTGAAGTTGAACCATTTCTCAAACCACCATCATCACCAGAGCCTCTTCTGGCAGCAGCCTTCCCTTCTTTGTACAAGTTCGATTCCAAAAATGACCACTTCCCCTCGCCAGGAATAACGATCGAAAAGACCCTGACCCGAGTGTTCAAAATTAGGCTCCGTTCAAAGCGTCGACAATGTGCCGTTGACCCTGCAGCTGTTGTCTTGGTTCCGAGTCGGGATGTGCCGTCCATAGCGAGCTCAGCTAGAGAGTCTAGGACTCTAGGGAGCCTGTGAGCATGGAAGCGATTAGCCTTGTAAGTCGAATCCTGTCACAAGTGTCCCGTTCAACCGAACTCACGCAGTCATGAGAAACAAGAAAAATAGATTTCCCAGCCCATAGCACTAGCACCGAGACTACCAGGGTCACCGGCAAATGGGTTCAGGGAGGTTCGAATTTTCAATACCGACCGTGGTCTGACACAGGGCTGACATAAATTACCATATCGTTAGGTTCCCAATCCCATCTGTCACCGTCAGTACCACTAATTCAACCTTAACAACCACCTCCATCATCCATGAGCTCTTCCGGATCGTCTTCCCCTACCAGTATCAACACGATAACTCCCACAGCAACGACACCTACAACCGCTGCGACGAGCGTAGGCACTGGCGCGAAATCCGATGTTAAACGGATTCTAGTTACAGGCGCGACAGGCAAACAGGGGTTTGCAACCGTTCGGGCTCTTATTCGTCTCAATGGGCTTCAAGACGGTCAACGAGACCGCTTTCAAATACTCGCGTTGACCCGGAACGAACGGTCGAAAGCTGCACAGGAGCTTGCATCCTTTCATTCATCTTCATTGGGAAAGGAGGATGACTTTGAGGTTGTCGAAGGGGATTTAAACTCTAAAGAGTCAGTTCGGGCGGTTTTTGAGAGGTACAGGGGCGATGGTGGGATATATGGTGTATTTTCGGTGCAGGCGTTTCCTGGTCTGGGTGTCGACTCGGGTGGGGAGGAGACACAAGGAAAGGTACGTGCTCAGCGCTCAGGACTTATAAGGGGGTCGAGGTAATTGATTCGCCTTCCTTCTTTGCCGCACAGAATATTGCAGACGTTGCCTATGAATTTCGAGTTCAACACTTCGTGTACTCTTCCTCTGAACGCGCGGATGAGCTGTTCGACGATCAGGCGAAGGAAGGTTCTTCACATCTCGCGAAAGTGAAGATTGAGGAGCGGGTGAAGGAATTGGGAGAGAAGGAAGGGGGCTTTGGATGGACGTGAGTACTAGTTCTCGGATCTCGGTTTCCTGTTCCGTCTATCCCGTGTTGTATACTCTCTTTGTCTACACCGTGACCTTGCCCGTATGGTGGTTGCGCTAACTCTGTCCCTGTTCTAGGATTCTTCGCCCAGTCCGGTTCTACGAAAACTTCAGCGGGGCCTTGGGTGGGGTCACTTTTGCGATATTCAGGGCTGGGATGAAGGAGACTACAAGACTGGACTTGGTGGTAAGCTCTAGTCCTTTTTCGTTAGTCAGTGGGGACGTGCCCTATCATTATGATCTCGCCTCCACTTGACTGTGCATAGCTGATAGTTCCCTTCGATGCCGCCCTCGATGCTGATCGCCGCTGCTGTTCCGGCTCTTCTTCCTTGTGCTGATTCAACATTGCCAATAGGCTGTCGACGACGTCGGTAGGATAGCTGCAGAGATCTTTCGGGTAAGCTGCCCCTTCTTCCGCCCCACACCACCTCTCTGACTTGCAACTTTTGTCTATAGGACCCGACCCCGTACACCAATAAGATCCTAGTGCCTGTCGGCGACACCCTCACGTGCCGTCAAATCGAGGAGGTCTATCTCAAGGCAAGCGGAAAGTCGATAACGAGGGTTCCGGGCTTTGTGGCGAACGGGCTGTTGAGGATGAATAAGGGTACGAAGGATATGTGAGTCCCTGTCTTCCGTGTTACTTGCTTTGGACTTTGTTCCGTCTAACCTTCTGGTTGGCGCTTCGCCTCCTCGCGGTCCTGCTACCTCCTCTTCGGTGTTTCGTGTTGCTAATGTACCCATTTCGCCAGGCTCGCGTCCATCGAACGACCTGCAGAAGCCCTCGAACGAGGTTTACTCCCGAACCTTCCTGGCCAGATCGAAAACGCTCGGAGGGCATTTATTGGTGGTGAGGACGACAAGGAAGGGCAGAAGCGGGGATTGACGACGTTTGAGGAGTGGGTGCACCTACGCGAGTATGAACAAGAAGGACCGCAGACAAAGACAAAGGGCGAAGTGGAACAGGACTCATCAGGCTCGGGTTGGAATAGGGTTTCGTTGCTGAAGTTGTTCAGTGGGCAGCACTAGCCCTTTGTGAGGACTCTAGGGCCTTGATTCCAGGGCAGTTTGACTCCTCTCTTCTGTTTCCGTTGTATTCATTGGCGATATACCGCCTTGTGTGCTTTCTTTCACATTATCGTACGAACGGTCGTTGTAGACTGTAGTATTTATCAAGTTAATTTATGGTTGTGATGTATACTCGCAATAGTGAACAAACTACTTGAAATTGATGCTGTGAGTTTCAATTCGAAAAAGTGCACCGGCCCAATATTCAGTTGCAGAGGGTTTCGAAATCAAGTTAGTGTGCATAAACCGGACGAAAAACGAGCTTGATCTCTCAGAGGTGCTACCAGGGTTCGAACCTGGGTTTCGGGAAGTCTGGGAAATCCTGAAGTCATCAACTTATCAAAATCCCGAGTGATAACCACTACACTATAGCACCATTGGGGGGAACTGGTGCATTCATTGCGTCAGTGAGCTATATTAGTCATCCCAGTGGTTACATCAGTCACACGTGTGACATTACAGCTCTGAAGACTGACACCGCCTTTCACCAAGTCACGCTGTACCCCTCCTTATTCCTGTACCACCACCATCTCAATCGGGTCGACAAGAAAAAATGACAACAGTATCACCATTTGCACGGGTCAGCGCGTTTGAAGAGCCTGGAATTATGGGTAGAGGACAGTCGGTAAGTCATTTTGAAGAAACTTGTTCGATACCTTACATCTACAAGTTTCTTAGCTACATCTGGCTCTTGTTCGAATGGAATGTTAGAATTGATCATTTTTATCGTTTCGCAGATCGAAGAAATGTACAGCGTACCCGAGAGCTTCCTAGAGATTGAAGTTCGAAATCCACAGACGCATGGTTCGTCTTCTCAGTCCAGCATTCGCGCAGTTGGGAAAGGGCTGATTTTCCCCGTGGATTTCTGTCAAATTAGGCTTTGGAAGGAAGATGTACACTGATTATGAGATTGTCTGCAAGGTTAGTCAGTTCTTCCGTTCTTACTTCGGAGTTGAATTCATGGCTTCCATCTCGCTTCATTATGTCGTGTGCCAGCGTATTGACACCCTTTATTCTGTTTCTCTAGACCAACATTCCCGCATTCAAGCTTCGTCACTCTCTTGTTCGTCGCCGGTACTCCGATTTTGAAGCATTCCGGGACATACTCGAACGTGAATCGACCCGGGTCAACATTCCACCTTTACCGGGGAAGGTGTTCACGAACCGATTCTCGGATGAGGTTATAGAAAGCAGAAGGGAAGGGCTAGAGAGGTTTTTGAGCATCGTTGCCGGGCACCCTTTGCTACAGGTCCGTTTCTTCGCTATCGTCTCGTAGCTCTTGAAAAGTGCGTGCTGACTTGTGGACCTAGACGGGAAGCAAAGTGCTGTGTGCGTTCTTGCAGGACCCGGCTTGGGACAAGAACCAGTGGATCTGAGGAATTTCGCTTTCCATGCCCAACACCGACCCTACCTACCCATCCGCGCGGAAATGTATCACACACCCCGAGACGACCTAGCACAGTTATGTATGTTCGCCCTTGCCCCCGGAACCTTTCGCTTTCGATTTTTACTCGCCTTTTCCTATTTCACCTCTACCTGTACATATAACCTCGAACCAATTACATCCCTGTTCAGCCTCTCCTCTTATCGCATCCTGTGCTGCGGACTGCGGGAGTGAGTATCATTCCGCCAAAGATGGTTTAGGCGACTAGCGGCACTGCTCCCAACGGCTGGTAATAGCATGGTGGATCGTTGTGCTACCCTGGAGGTTCTGGCAGGTGGTTAGGCCAGTCCTTTTATTCGCGTTGGCGGGAGGTCTAGAGCTAGGGCCGCTGTTCACCTATGTGGGGCCTCTACTTAAGCGCATGGACACGGGGCACTCAGATCACCGCTATGCGTAAGTCACAGGGTACGTCGTTCACGTCTTGACCTCATGAATCACGACCACTCAACGATGTCATAGAACTTTCGAGCTTGACTTGCACAATGCCGCTGAACACGACGCGTCTCCGACCGGCCTGTCTACATTCTCAATGTCACCGGCTTGATTGAATATTGAAGGCCTGCTCGACCTTGTAACTAGTTGGGTGCACGGAATAAGGGACACAGAAAGCGCATTGTGAAAGATCACGGTACGGAATGAATACAAACAACAAACAAGATATAAAATACTTCTTAGTCCTACGACCACGGAGGTGGCTAATCGTGATTCGACGTTTCGCCTCCTGCTTCTGGGTCCTGGAATTCGCCTCGGGACGACGGTCGAGATGGACCACGGTTCCGCCCAAACAAACTTCCCGAAACCGAGCCGATCCAACTGTTGGTAACGCGCCGAGTCGATGATCTGGAAGGAGTCCTTCTGAGAGAAGGCGTCTTTTCAGGTTCTTTAACATCTGACAACGAAAAACGCGGTAACGAAATTGGTAGTTGCGATAACGTTCGAGGTGGCTTCTCGGACTCTGGCCGCATCAACTCGTCCGGCTGTGGCACCAATTTTGAAGACAGCTTTCGGCTGACAGAATGTGCTGGGGGAGAAGGCACCGACGTTTCTATGAGAGAACGCGCACTTCTAGAGCGCCTTGGCGTCTGGGAGGTTGACGATGGCGAAGACGTGGTAACCTGGTGGTGAACGTTCCTCTGAGACTGATCCACGCGAAGACTCTCGGGTTCTCTGGCAATAAACAGGACTGGAACAAGGCCGGGCGGGAGGTCTGGAGGCCCTCGAATGAGCGTCAAATCTTCGGGTGTGATGCTTTCGATATAAACAACATCTGCCTCGCTGTCAGTAGCCGAGGAAGGACACATAGAAACGGATACAGACCTCCTTCAGCCACAAACTTGAATCTCCGACAGATACGCCTGAGAAGCTCATCCCTCCCAGGTAGCTGTTCGTCGGACTTTATTTTCTCAGAATTAGCGGATTGTAAGGAAGAAGATTGGTGCGTACATCTTCTAGTACACTCATCCAGTCATCGTCATGCAAGAATGCGACTGTCCCCGAGTTCATCGAGGAGGGTCGCGCCTTTGAAGCGAGCTCGAGGCTGAGCATATTAATTAGTTGGCTTGGATGGACGATCTAAAGGAAATAAATTCGCTGTCATGCAAACATCCGAGGAGTGAACCACGCACCGCGTTGAGCCTGTTTGTAGGTAGTCTCACGATATTATCACCCGACACGGCAGTATGGTCGTCGGTAGAATGAAAGGATGTAGCGGTGGAGTGATTGTCCGAGTTTGGTCCTTCCTCATCATCGCGAGGGGCCTGGGAAGATCGAGTAGAACTCGAGGAGTCGAATGCAGAGCCTTTCCTAAAAGGGTTGAAGAGACTCCGAGGGGTTTTCGAGTGGGAATTGTCAGAGCGGTCATCAGATCTTTTGTCGGATTCTGGACGACCACCGATGTCAGAATGGTGTGAAGGAGAACGCCTGATGTTGCCATCGTTTCTATTTATCCAGAAACCGCGAACAAAAACGGTCTCCTTGCATCGATCTCCGATACGTGGCGGCATGGGCGACGACTGTGTCGAGCTTCGCGGGGGACCAAACTTGGCCCATGAGCAAAGACCGCTGGTATTGTTGACAGTGAGCTTTAAGTGACCCATAATTTGAGAAGGATACACATCAATTGACTCCCACGCAGCCGTAGCCCACGTAGAACACTGCTCGACGGCTGTCAGAAGGCACAAAGTTTGACCCTCGTCAAGGTCTCCTTGATCCTCAGCAAAATCGTACCATTGACGCCAGCAATCTCGAATACGCTTCTTGAACTCCTGAGTCTTCTGGAGCTGCCTCAAGACGCCGCCCTCCGGAAGCACCAAGAGGGCGCCACCTTTCTCGGAAAGATTGAAGGTAAGCACCCTGTTGAGGAGGCTGAGTCAAACTCGACGTTCCTCGGCTATACTATCACGTACAAGACGTACCTCAAATCTTCCCCATTGTGCTGATTTTGGTCTGAGATAGCCCCTCCTGGGCGTATCAAAACCTCGTCTTTTTGGTGATACCTAGTATCCACGGCCACGCTTCCCCGTGTATCGCAGGGTGGACCAAGATCTTCAGGCATCTGATGATCTGTTATGTTGAAGAGTGTATGGAAAGGATTCATGTCGGAACAAATTCCAACGTCACCGATCTTGATTGTGTACTGTTCACCAGTATCAGTACAGCGAGGCGACGGTTTCCAGAAAGGGTATCCAAGTTGACAAGTCGATAAGAAATCTACATATCGCCCCCAGGGTGTCCCAGAGTCCTTGTGTTCAGCCAATGGTCCCGCCTGAAGAGGAGAGATGGCAGGGACGGAACCCCGCGAGCGCAAAAGGGGCGGTAGTCTTTCGAAGGACTCGGTAGCCCTTGCATGATATACTGCGGGGCTATAAATCGTGCTGTGGGTTGACTTGGCAAACTACATGATTCAGGGAGTTCGCACCTTGATCCCGAAGTGTTCAGATAGTATACTGTAGCCTAAAAAAGTGTGAATAGATGAGTGGGGTCATTGTTTTAGAACGCACGTGGTTTCCAAATACTAGTGAAACAGACATGAGAATTTATGTCGAGCGAAAAAGTTAGCACGTACCGTGAGACCCGTTAATTGTTTTATTGGAGTCTCCAACATTCTCAGTGAGGACCCCGGAGCTCAGGACGGTAGATGACTCGTGCAGCGCTGACTGGGCACGGAAGGGACCAGGCTGTCGCTGCAAACCATCAAGTAACACAGCACGATTTTCTTCGAGGACTGGATCGCCGAGTTTCGCTTCGTGGCGGGTTCGTGGCTGCGGAGAGAGCCGTCTCGAGGGAGGTACAAGATCCTGACTACTCGCATAATTTTCAGCAGCAAATGTGGTTTGAGAAGTGTTCGTTGGTGGCAAATTCTTTCCGTCGAGTTCTGCGACATTCGAATTTGTTGGAGTAGATTTTTGTGACCTTGAGCTCACGAGGGATGTAGTGGGATTGTCAGGGGTTTGTGAAAGGATAACTGAAGCCCCTCGACCATCTCGTGGTAAGGAACGTGTGTCCTGTGGGCTTTCCAGCTCTGAAGCTGACACTACTACACGTTGGGATACCCGTTTAGCGGGGGACCTTCGGCTTGTTATATGTGAGGAGATAGGGAGTGATTGAGCATCCTGCTTGCCCGTACCACTCGTCGTTCCCTCCTCGGATGAATACGCTGAGGGAGAGAATCTCGATGGGGAAATCGACGAGGCGACAGACCCATGCAACTCATCAGGAATCGAAGCAATGGGAGTCTGAATCTCCGGCCGTGACTCTGTGACAGAGGTTGCTTCTGGGTCGGTTGACGTCCGCCGGGAGGAAGAATGGTTGATAGAGCGAGCTGAGGAAGGTTCCATGACGATACGATTCATTTCAGAGGGATCTTCAAAGGAGCCTGATGGTATCGCGTCCTCAGGCGTATGCACCGATCCTGATTCGAAGCGCTCCGAAGG